CGAGGATACCCGACTAATGGGCGGCTAACCAATCCCTATTGCATGCGTTTGCTGAGACGTATTTGTGTTTATTTAACACCCACAAAGCCAACCTGTGGTTTATACTGCAACTATGCTGAGCAGACCTTAGTTAAACATTCTTGGAAAAAGCGTGTTATCTAGCGTGATCAACAATTTGAACAAGGCCAGTACGCTCAAGCCCTCGGCCACGATGACTTGTAACTTCGTGCTAGCACCCATTTTCTCTCACAAGGCTTGGGTTAACCCGTGGTATGGTTTTCAGGCATTTTCCAAAGGTGCCACATGGCTAGGATCGAACCATTCAGTCCAATAACATCTGGAAGTTTCTTTCCTGACAAATTGACCATGGTGAGATGCGAACCTTCTAAAAATTCGGCCACGTGCCCATCAGTTAGTAATACGTATTCTCTAAATAAAAAAAGAATATTAAAAGGAAGCCAGACGATTAGTGAAAAATGACTTGAATCAAATTTGATATGTAAAACGTCATATACGAGAAGCTCAAATTGATGTTATAAAAATATAAAAATGAAGCCTGGCAGTTTATTAAAAAAGATACATGTATAAAATTTCTTTTTCAAATTTGTAAAAAAAAAAAAAAGAAGTTAAACTCGCCAGAATAAGGTCTGCAAACAGGTGTGGCTGAAAGAGTTATATTTTGTGATTTTCCTTAACCAATAGAGAATGTAAGTTATGAACACAGAGTATTAAATTTCTGATTTAATTCGGAGCCGATTTATGGCTATTTAAGAAGTCTGGTTTGTCAGACAGAAGAGATTTGGCATTCACAAAGAAGGCAACGACTGGATGCTGGGGGCTGAACGCAGAAGAAGAAGAAGAAGAAGAAGAAGAGTTTTGGCTTTCACCGGCGAATGATCGCGGGTAGCTTCAGGGACTTGAACAAAAGAAAAATTAAAAGTCGGCAACTACTACTACGATGAGGATGAAAAGAAAGAAACCGAAAAAAAAAAGTAACAGCAGAAAAAGAAAAGAGCTGAAAATGGTCGGGAAGAGATAGAACGAAAAAAAGAAGAAATTTCTACACATTTAGAGATATCCCATTATCTTTCTATATTTCTTTGTCTAAGATTGTCGCCAAATTAGAGGTATTAATCCATGATTTTGAACTTTTTTATGAGAGTATCAGATTTATTTAATCTCAAAAAGTCTGTAAAAGTGAACTGTTGTCTAAACAAACTAGAGCTCTAACAACAACTGTGAATTTGGCATCTTTCTCAATACCTTTCGATAGCCGAACGAATCGAAGTCAGTGAACATTGATAATAATTATAATTATTATTATGAGCCTCTGAGAGAATTAGAAATCCTACCGGGATTCAACATTGGCGGACACAATCTTAATATACGCAGATGACACAGTACTGATAGCAGACACGGAAAAGAAACTACAAAACCTCCTACAGAAGGTAGGAAAGAAGAGCGAGAAGAATGGACAAAGAATAAAATACAAGATAAAATGCATAGTCATAAGTAAAAGGATGAGCCCGAAATGCGATTTGCTGGTCGGGGGCACTAAAATCAAGCATGCGCAGAAGTTTAAATATCTGGGAAGTGTTTTAACGGAGGACGGTAAGGATGACACTGAGATCCCAAGACGTATTGGGATGGCCAAGGATGCATTCCAAATGCTGAGCAGAGTATTGCAAGACAGGAGGATTTCTTAGATGACATAAAAAAAAAGAGTACTGACCTGCTACATGACGTCTGTCCTCCTATAAGGCAGCGAATGTTGGACGGTCTCCTCAAAGATGAAGAAGAGACTCGAGGCAACGGAGATATGGTTCTACAGAAGGATGCTAAGGATATCATGAACCGAGCGTGTGAGCAAAGATGAGGTTTTAAAGAGGATGTAAACAAGGCAGAAGCTTATACTTAACATCAGGAAGAGGCAGATGAAATTTCTGGAACATGTAACGAGAAAGGAGGACCTGGAGAATCTGATACTCACAGGTCGAATAGAAGGAAAGAGAAACAAGGGGAAGCAACACATGACATACCTGGTGGGCTTAAACAAGTGGATGACAGAACGAGGTCTTGGGGAGGTGGCAAAGGGACGAAAATTATTGAGAGCTACAAGGGATAGGGGGAAGTGGAGAGCCATGATCGTCTACGCCCTGAAAGGACACGGCACATAAAAAGAAAGAAGAACAATATTATAATTAGAACTTGTTATCTTTCCTAATTATTTGGCGCAAAAAGGAAACTTTTGTGTAAACTTGTTTTGTAAATTTTATATTCTGTGCGAATATTATTTTTTACATCATTTAATAAATGTAAATTTCTTTCAAATTTTACGTCGGAGTAAGAGTCTTGTACTTTTTCTTTTACGCCTTTCATAATACTTGGTAAAAGAGATTTGACGTCCTCTGTTTTTACTCTTCTCTTCCAAACCCTTTTATATTTTTTTTATATCTCAATGTTACAGGAAATGAATGCGACCCCAGAGTTAAATAAGCCAGAGTGATTTTTTTTTAAAGTTTATTTCCTTGTTTAAATTAAAATACAAAAACAGACTCGGATTTACAGGAAGTTAATCTCTCTCTCTCTCTCTCTATCTCTCTATCTATCTATCTATCTATCTATCTATCTATCTATCTTACTCTGTCTTCTCTCTCTCTCTTTCACTATCTCTCTCTTTCTCTTTCTCATGTTTTGTTTCTTACGAATCACCTTTATTCTTTACTGGTTTTCATTTTACCTCTTTACAACCGTGGTCGTCCTCTTTTCTCTTTCCTTTTTTCAATCTTTCTCATCACTTTCCTCATTTCTCCTTCTCGTTGTCTTTTTCTTTTTTTTTATCGCATTCACTTTTTTTTCTTTTTTCTTTTATTCGTTTTTTTTCTCTTCCCTTTTTTTTTTTCGCTTTCTGTTCATTTTCCACTTTCTCGTTCTCTTTTCCTTCCGCTTTTTCCCATTTACTCATCTTTTTCCCTTTTTCTATTTCTCGTTCTTTTTTTCCTGTCTCCTTTTTATCTCTTTCTTTTCCCTTTCCAATTTCTTTTTTCTCTTTTGTCTTTCATTTTTTACCCCTTTCTCTTTTCTCGTTCTCCTTTTTCGCTTTTTTTTAAATCTCTTTCTCTTCTGGTTCTCTTCTCGTTCTCTTCACGTTGGACTTTTCTGCTTTTCATTTTTCTTTTCTTCTCTTTCCCCTTTTTATCTCTTTCTCTTTTCTTTCCTCGTTCTTCTTTTTCCCTTCTTTTCTTTTCACTTTCCATTTCTTACCTTTTCCATTCTTTTTTCTCTCTCCTTTTGCACTTTTTTTTTTGCACTTTTTTCTTCTTTTTCTCTTTATGCCGCTGCCTCCATGTTTTCTGCTCAACCCGCAGTTACTGGCCTTTGTACGTCCTTTCCTTCTTTCGCAAATGACGGCAGTGGTCAGTCGTTAGTTGTCAGCGAATTAATTATAATCACATCCGTTTTTCTTCCACCCACCACAGGTCAAGAACTAGGACATATAAGAGAAAGCTGATGTCTGCAAGCATGAAAAATAATGAACCTGTCTCTTTCAGGGAATTTGACCAATCATAATAAATCTTAACAGATACATTTCTGGGCACTTCACCGCGGTGTAATGGTTAGCAAGCTTGTCTCGCTAGATCACTTACGACTGAATAGTGAGCTTAATCACCACTGG